TCTCTCTCTCTCTCTCTCTCTCTCTCTCTCTCTCTCTCTCTCTCTCTCTCTACATACCAGCAAAACAGTATCCCTTATGAATATTTGAATTCATCGGATTACCAGGACTCGGTGACAAGTTTATCGGCGTAAAATAACATTGTTATCACCGGGTCAGGCTTGGCTGTGAACAACGAGAGAGATAGCGTAGAGGTTGTTACTGAAACAACGAGGCTTACGAGGCAGATAGCGAGGGCTCGAGGAGGGTGGGTTTTTTTTAGTCTGTTTGTAGTGAAATGATTAGAATGTTCAGTAATATAATATACCGTACGTGTACCTACCAACGGTTTGTTAGTTTAGGCACGGTTTATACTGTGTTGAGCTTTTTTCCTTCCGGCAACTGTTTTTCTCATTCGTTGTATGTGTGTGTATATATATTTGTGTTCGTGTGTTTGTGTATATATATGTGTGTGTATGTGTGTGTATGTTTGTTCGTTTATTTCGCTGTCGGTTTTCTTTTGGTTCAACTCGCACTTTCACATTACTTCTATCCCCTCATGTGAAAATTATTAACGATGTAGTATACCTCCCCTCCCCACACGCACATACACACGCACACACACACATACACGCTCGTACACGTGCACGTGCGCACACACACACACAAACACACACACACACACACACACACACACACACACACACACACACACACACACACACACTAGTGGGTGGTTGGCGGGTCTCTGGTGTGGTTTGCTCGTTCTTTTTCCTATCAAAAGCTATCGTCCTTTTCTCTCCTCCTTTTTTGTGTTTGTTACTCTATTGTAACATCTCTAATAAATCTTGGGCCCTTATATGACCTTAATGTGTTGCAAATGCCGTAATACTCTTACTAAAACACACACACTCATAACAAATAATTCCCGTCATCATTTGACTGGTAATGAATGAACAAAGTATTCGGTTATACAGTTTTTGTTTTTGTTGTTTTTAATGAGAACAAAAACAAAGGTGGTTGGCAGGTGTGGTGTTGCGTGGTTTGTTTGCTCCTTCTTTTCTGTCTAACACATCATCCTTATCTCCCCTCCTTCTTTTCCTTTTTAGTCTTATCTTCTATATAATTATATGTGTTGTAAGTGCCGTAAAACGCTTATTACTAACGGAAACTGAATCTGAAAGACCGAACCACTTTCCTTCACACGAACGCTTCCGTTCTGTCTTGACTCTCATGGAATGTGAGTATTCAAAAGGCCCGTTTTTTTCTTTTGTCTGTCTGGTTACTTCTTTAAAGGCACTCACCCACTGGGTGGTACAGTACTGAAGCTGTTTCAAATACATTAAAAAAATATTTCCCTTTCTTTTTCTTGTAAAATGACATTTTTCTTAGTTTTCATTATTTAAAAAAATTAATGTGTCTATTTTCCACTTATTTGTTTATTTTAAAAGTTTTAAATTTGTATTATTCTAATTTTTCCAAAAACATACATTCTTCATATTATTTGTTTGTAATTTTCATTGTGTGTGTGT